TCCTTCCAGACCTAGCTAAAGCAATACTTCTGTAAGTTGCACTCCTCCGCTCCTGATCTGCTTCCTGGAAGTTTGTACACTTCTCTGTTGCACCTCAAACATTGTTCCATAGCTATATCTTTACTTGCCTTCATCTATAGGCTGTGAGCTATGATTCGCATTATGCCCCAACACCCAGTAGAGAACTAGATACATAACAGGCATCTAATAGTATTGGGTGAGTGAATAACTAAATGTATCTCCCAAGAATAAAGAAATCAATTAAACATTTTCTTTTTTGTTAGAGAACATATAAAAAATGAATTTTTAGAGTATGCTACAAGTGATTCAAATTCAATTTTTGGTTAAGAAAATCTTTTAGAGAATTCAAATGGAATTAGTGAGCACAATATCTCTGATATGTGATAAGGACTCATGCTTCGAGTTAGTCTGTTTCCATTTTTTTTAAAGTTGCTTCTATATTTAAATTAATATGCTCAGTTATATCTAATGCCAATTTATTAGGATCGTTTATTTGGCTTTTAGTCTCATTTCTTCAAATGTAGATGTTTAAATTGAGTTTGTTTTTAAAAAACAGAATTTGTTCCTTATTACCTTTGCTTTTTGAGTTTGACTGATCATGATCACCTTTGGTCCAAGGCCAGCTATACTGTGATAAGTTCTGTGCTTAAACATTTCAAGTGAAGATGAGCATGAATGACATAAGCAGACAAGTAACCCTTTGTGCGATTTTGTACATTATTTTGCACCTGTTTACTTTCCTGTGAAATAAGGAAAACTGTACAAGGAAATCATAAAGTTCTTATTGAGTGCAAACACTCTAGGTGCAGCGTATCAGTTGCAAGTGTGATGGGGGTGTCCAAGAGAAGCTGTGAGCCTACACAACACTGTGTTCTGCATGCCAATTGAGCCACGACTTCCCTGGCTGTGTCTGGTTTTTCTACTTTGTAATTTTGATACTTGTCCATTATAGTCTAAAGCTAGGTGTTCATATCCTCTCCATGGTCATTGTAGCCATTGTTATCAAGTGCTCCCATGAATGAGCTGTAGTCCTAGATGTTGTGCAAGCAAAGGAGCCCTACACAGCTCTGCGAGCAGCTCATGTAATGTCCCCCAGAAAGCAAAGTAAAATACAGGAGTCTTTTCTCCTCAGCCTTTTAAGGCGTCATAGGCATTAATTCTACCAAATGCCTCACACATAGCAGGCATTCCATCAGCCTGATTTCCATTCCTGCCTATGAAAGCATGAGTGATGAAGGTATGTTTTCCCTTCCCTTTGTTCAGGTAAGGGAGCTATCAGGAAAATGTAATATCTTACGATATCTTAAAAAAATGTTTCTGTTCGTGTCACAATAGTTTTCTTTCTGTATCCAAATTGGGGAAGGTAGCTCATTACAGAGTAAGAAGGGGAGCCCCCGGGCAGGGGAGTCAGCTGTGAAGGAACATCAGAAGGATAAGTGCCATCACAGCTGTGGGGCATCACCAGTGACATTGGAGGTATCTCTCCAGCAGATGACATCTGCCTGTACAATGACCTCATTTAGATGGAGAATCAAATATTAATAGAACTAAAATAGGAGTTCTCATCTAACACATGATGCATTAAATGTCAGAACATACCTGATGATCTTAACTGTAGATGATGTGGCCTGTGTTCATTCCAGAGAAATGAGAGAATGAAGTCTGGAACATTTTTAGTTTGTTTACTGCAATCTAGAGAGTGATGACAGTTCATACTCTCATGGGAGATAGTTTTTTTTGCTCAAGGTCAGATCTAAATAAGCACAACAACAGGAAGAAAATCCTCTAGGGCAAAAATGTCTGCTTCTGTGGAGAACAAGTGCTGCAGGTTTTCACAACTTCTGGTTGATGCCCTGCTCAGCCAGACTTGGACCAGAGATGCTTTCATTTGCATATATTAATATGTAAATAAAGAGTATGAATATTTCAAATTCTGAGATGTTATATTTATGTCCTTTTCAGATAGAAGAGAGAAATCCTACTTGCCAGTTTTCCTCATTATATATGTTTGAATTCTTATGTTTTAACATATTTCAGGTAAATTATTTGCAGCAGAAGTCAGGAACTGTTTCTCTATGCATGATGCAAATTTACAGATGCAAAGTGAGAGTTGGTTAAATGTTCAGTTATTTAACATTTATGTGAAACAAGTTATGTTCGGGAAGTTTTTATTCCTACTTGTTAGTATTTGTGTCTTATTGTTACCCCTGGTCCATTGGCTACACTTATTTGGGAAGAAAGGGAATACACATCTAACCAGACAATCCAGGCTTGTCTTTCTCTACTATGGACAAAAAAAGGCCATTGCATAGTTGATGAGCATATAAGAAAAATATGAATACTTGTAAGTGGAATAAATAAGTGGCAGCAAAAATGAACAAAGCCCTGTATTATGCCACAACCTGGGTGAGTCTTGGGGGAGGATAGACTTTGGTAAGTGACTAAATCTATGTACCCAAGTCTTTTTTAAAGCCCATCATTTTTTTCCACATGGCTGATCTTCCTAGAATATTTTGAAGACACTTCCTGGTCTTGCGTGGTTCTTGGTTGAATCTCCATAATATTATCCCCTCAGCCATTATCAGTTACCCTAGCCTAATCCAATGATACAGTGCATGATATACTACAGGACAGGAGAATCTGATTAGTAAACTGGTCTGGAAGAAGGGCATCTGTTCCTCCACAGAATCTGAGGTTCAAAACACCTTATTTGCTTGGTATAAACTCTGGAGGAATTGTACAGTTTGATCATTAGAACTCCAGTGAATTTTAAAATGCCACTGGGGTGTGCAGTCTTGTGTATCAAGAAAGAAAAATAATAAAGCTCCAGTGATTCTGTGGATGGAGTTCACAGAGCTCTTTTGATCCCTGAAGACTTTTCTTCCTGGATGTCTTATCCCATTTAATTTATTGTCTCTGAAATATCAATACAAGCTGGTCAATTGCTGAGTCTGTTCTTATATTGCTTACAGATGTCTGAGTTATTGACAATTTAGCTCATCTTTTACTCTAAATCTGAGGGAAAGGATATGAACATCTTTTATGACTTAGGAAAACTTCTGTTTCCTGTATTTTGTTCACCCAAGTATATACATATGCTATTTGACCTAGTAGAATTATTAGTTGACCTGATATAGTCTCCCCTGCTAGTACTAGATTCAGCCGGCTTCTGTTACCCAGGACTCAAGCAACAAGTAAATATTGGGCAATGTGGGGCAGAACAGTAAGCCCCACTCATATATTGGCAGATATGTAAGCAGCTCAGGGCACCTGAAAGCTAAACGCTCTTTAATTTTTAAGTAAAGATTTTTATGATTTATTGTTATTCAGTGAAGAAAGAGATTGTTAACCACGCATAGATTCCTGATTCTAATAACAGAGTTAAATGAGCTCATGCTACCCTTCCTTGTACTGAAAATACATAAAATAGAAATATAAAGTTTAATATAAAAAGGGGAAGTAGGGACACCCTTGGAGGTGCAGTGGGTTTAAAGTGCAGCACTGTGAAGCTATCTGCAGCCACTGCAGCATGAGTTCCATCTGCAGCCAGGGAGGTGACCCACATGGCATGGCAGACCTCTCCTGTCTTACCTGCTGTTCCCCTCAGCAGTGTGTTTCACTCAGTCCACCTGTTCTGCTCCCCACTCTGTCTCTGGTGAATCCTCTCACCCCCACATGCGTGAACAAATAAATCTTTTTGAAAAAGGGGGGGATATTTGTAAATCATATATCTGATAAGAGCCTTATACCCAGAATATACATACATACATATACATGTATATGTATGTATGTATATTCTGTGTGCACATTATATATATATGTATATTCTGTGTGCACATTATGGTTTACATATATATATATATAATAACCATTATATATGTATATTGTAATGATGGGTCAAAGCATGAGTGTGTCTTTGGGAGTAGTCCCGTTTAATCCACTACAGAGGTTATTTGAGCATTTATAGAAACTGGTAGGATAGGATGGGCCTTCCTAAGAAGACATGAGTAAGAAGTCCTAAAAGACTGACAGATTTCACTACAGAAGAATCAAACACTTCCGAGTGATGAAGGTACCATAAACAAACTCGAAAATACAACAAAATGGAGAAAATATTTGCTTCATACATCATAGATATATCTAGGATGATTTGCACAGTCACAAACTGGGAATGGAAAAATAAGTCACTTTTGCTTGGGTTTGTGAAAGTCTCCATTTTTGCAACAGGAAAAGCAATCCAAACCTGCCAAGTCAAAGCAACTTGACTCCTTCCAGTTGGCTTTGCTTAAGTAACTCAGTGTGCTTGGGGTATGTCTTGCCTATCGGACTGTTTCCTTCCCTTCTCACAGGGCACAGGTCAGTATGAGCAATGTCATGTTTTGCATTAGTATGACTGACCTTGTGCCCAGTGGCCATGAGCTCTTTGGAAGAACGGGGTGTCTTTTACCCAACTCTGAATCTGCAGTGCGTAGGATTTACCCATTGCCCAGAGAATCTTTATTGACTCACATTGATTGGAAAGCTTTTAAGATCCCTGGGTGCTGCATTTTCCAGGGATGTTAAAAAGGGCCAGGGCTGATTTATTATATTCCCAGCAGGACTCTTGTACGGATTAATGTTTTCGTATAAATAAGTGATCCCCTGCTCCTTTAAAACAGCATTAAGTGAAAGCTTTTATATTTTAAGGATGTGCTTAGTTTTATAATAATTTGTATTTCAATCTTGTATCTGCAATATAAAAAGGTTTTTGTGTTTTCTCATAGAAAATAGGACATACAGATGTGCACAAAATGAATCCAACATTAGGGTTCCTGTCTGGAAATTATATCAGACAATTAATCTTCCTGAGTGTTATTGTCTTACAGTAAGCTCCTTCATGGAGCTTGGTCTGTAGAGGGGCCAGAAGGAAGGGTGCTGGGGGAGAGACTCCAACCTAATGTGCTCCCTGTCTTCTCCTCCCCTCCCCCACCCACTTCCAGTGAGATGAAGCAGAAGCTGGATGCAGAAGGCAGCAAGTGCCGCATCCTTTCCAAGCATGAGAAGTTCGTGGAGCACTGCTGTATGCGCTGCTGTTCGCCCTTCACCTTCCTTGTCAACACCAAGCGCAGGTGTGGGGACTGCAAGTTCAATGTCTGCAAGAGCTGCTGCTCCTACCAGAAGCAGGAGAAGGTCTGGGTATGCTGTGTCTGCCAGCAAGCCAGGTGAGTGGCGGGCCAGTGCCAGGCCTCTGCATGGGGCAGCGCCTGCCTATAATTGGTGAAGAGGCTAGGGCCTCTTTCTTTCATCCACTCAACCATTTTGCCTGTATTGGATTCTTAGGATGAGGCTGGGGGCAGGAAACATGGGGGTGAGGTAGGCAGGTTATTTGGGGGGGGGTGGTGATAGGATGCACACGCGCTGATCCCAGTATTGGTGAAAGCTGCCTGTAAATTCCCCTTCAGTAATGGGGCATGGCAAGGAGTCACTAGCCCGAAGGGTTTGGACAAAGTTTCATGGAGGACAAGAAGTAAGTCAGCATGATAAAAGCTAAAACAGGAAAAGAGGTATTGGTGTGGAAAAAGGGGTGAGTTCCTACATTAAGGAAATGGCTGGTGTGGGGTTTCACACAGGTAGGTGTTTATGTTCTTCAGTGACCAGAAGAGCATTTCCTTGATACACTGATTATATGGAACCGAAGGGGTTTGATAAGCTTGGCATTTTCCCCTTGGAATTCTTAAGTATTTGCTGGTGATAGTGTCTGTGGCATGTTTCTCTTGCTGCCCCTGATGTGAAGCTCTGCAGTGTGAGCAAGGCACAGGAGGCTGCTTCCTGAGACCACAGGCACCTGCTCCGCCCCTCTCTCCTTCCCTCCTGTCCCCTCCACATGAGAAATGTTAGCACCAACATGACATTGACTCGTTCAGATTTTCTGCAGTCTTCTCCGTGGATCAGAAAAATCTCCAAATTTACAAAACAATTAACACCAAAGTCAAATTCCAGTTTCTCCCACATCAGAGCTGAGTTGTGCGAGGGGATCTGTTATCACTTACTGTTCAATGACATGTTGCTTTTCACCCAGCAGCAGTAATGTTAAGTGATCCGCAGAAGCACATCACTTAAAATTGGAAGGACTTTTCTCAAAAGCCAGGTGTTCTGATTCTAGTCCTGTGCTCTTTCATTTATACTAGATTATCTTAAGGAATTGCCATATATTGGAAAATGTAAGTCATAAAAATGGCAGCAAATGGCTCCTTTGGCTGCATTTTAAATTTCTAGTTCACATTTCTAGCCACTTAATGGAAGGCAGCAGGCCCAGGTATTTCTTTTGATTATGTATCATGTCCACACCGTGTGGCAGGTCCTGGATCTCAAAAGTAGGACATCAGAAAATAAGGTCCTACTCATCGAAGATGCCTGGAATGACATCCAAAAATGAATGTACCCTTGTCCTTTCTTCATTTTTTTTTTTTTTAAGAAAAGGTAGAGTTGCTGAGGAGTCTTCTACCTTTGGTGGAATGAGTGTATCTAGTGCAGAGAAAACACACCCAAACTTGTTTAATCAGAGCAGGCAGGAAGATGCTGAGGAGGAGGAACTTTGTCGTCTTAACCTTGTAAAATTTCCTGTGGGGATGTCTCTAAGAGTCTTAGGATTATTACTGAATGAAGCCAAAAGAGATAGAAAAGACAGAGATGGCAAAGTGGAACCCAATGCCTGTTTTCCTGTGGCTGGGATCCAGAATTTCCCCTCACGACACCGTTTTATTTTAATTTATCCTAGGAACCTGTCCAGGAAAGAAGCCCATAATCTATGTGGCAAATTTTTACTTGTTGAAATTTCTCTAATTTAGTGGAGAAGAATGTCAGGTCAGAGTTCTGATGTGTGGCTTGTGGGCTGACAGCCTAATGTATTGTACTTGGATCACTTGAAGGCTGTCTCAGAAGTGTAGATTTAATTGGTATAGCAATAAGCTGTGTCACCTCTCAGTGTTATGAAGAGACAGTCAGTTTCATCATGTGAAACATCTAAGGAACATTTTGCCTTGAATCAAGTCAGATAAACAATCGTTTTTAAAACCTTCCCAATGTCTTGAAACAACTAAAGGCTTCCAGCAGATCGTTTAGACTTCACTTACAGATTTGACCTGGCAAAAGCCAGCATCCTGCAGGGTGGTGGCAGGTGAGTGCTCTGTGCTCCCATCTGCTTGGTCCTTTGACTTCTTGACCCCACAGGCAAACTGAAGTTGGAAGTAATTTACTTTAGATGCCAGTCATTGGGACAGTGTTCTAGTGTATTCATTTCACGTGATGGAATTTAAAAACACTGTTTGTGTTACATTTCATGAAGAACATATTTTGTGCGTGGTGAAGGGATATAAAATAGCTGATAGTAGCCTCTGCAGACCCTATTTCACTCCTACTACTCACAATGAGCTTTTGCTTTCCTATGGAAATTAACCCCATTTTTGCTCTATTGGTTGAATTTCTACCTGTTTATCCAGTGACTACCATGTGCATATATTTTTAGATACTATGGAGCATTGTAAATAATAAAAAAATTGTTCACAAAAAATTGAGGAGGTGGGAGTTGAGGGTAGACATTCATACAACAACATTAACAAATTGCCTTAGAAGTAAATGACTGTATCAAGCCCAAGGGTCTGTCTGTGTTGTAAGTCTAAATGCGTGAAGCTACTTAAAAATGGAGATTTTATCAGAGACTGCCCAGGGAATGCCAAGTCATGTAAAACTGGTGATAATCTGCCATTTTAGATTTCTTCTTTTTTGTCTCTCTAAACCTAATGTTCTAAGGTTTTGTTTAATTACTTATTCCAGTAAGAGCATTTTAAGAATTTTAGATGAAAATTCACTTTTAATGCTTGTTGTAATTATGATCAGATGGTTACTTCTTCTTCATTTCTTATCTTCCATATGTTTTGCATTTAAATGCATTTTGCTCAGTCTTACTTTAAACATTTAAATCTGGGAGATTATCAAACATCAGATGAATTTGTTACAGACTGAATGATGGCATGCTAATTTTGGAAATTACATATCAGATATGACTGAATCATTCTCTGTCATTCTGTATCATTTATAAATTATTTTCTGGACAATTTACTGTATAGAGTCATTCAAACATTGTAAATAAGGACCTATAAAATAGTTGCATTTTAAGACTTCTACAGGAAACCCAGCTTTTAGAGTAAGCCCAAGTATCATACGTATCAGTCTATCATTTGGGGTCACATTAATCCAGGAATGATGTCATTGCTTTCCTTGGAAACAAACTGGCTTCCTTGCTTTTGCTTCATTATAAAAATTGTTTTCTATGATTTTTGTCATTTTGTGCTATCTCCTTTAGCACAGAGCAATTTTGTAGATTGTTCTTAGGGAATGAGGAAAAAAATTATCCTTGAAACTTAAATCAAAACACATCGCCTTAGAATGCCTGTAGTATTTACTTTCATTTTTCTGAGAAAAATTTAGGCTTCATATTTGTTCATTGGCATGAAATATCCTTTAGTTCTCTCTGATCTCTTACTAGTTGGTTTTCACACAGTCCACATGATTCATAAATTAACATACTGTCCATTTGGTATAAACTCCACAGTATGTTTTAGAGATACCCCGGTTTGCAGTAGTCCTTGCTAAGATAGAATATTAAAAATTACCACTATGGATTCATGGGTTAGCAAATGTATAGGGAAATAAAGAACCTCCCTCGAAATCAAGAGAATAGAGATATATGTGTCAGTTAGCATTTTTTCCTCAATAAATCAGTGATTTTTTTCATCATTCTATTCAATGTTGACAAGGGTAGATTGAAAAAGGCACTCTCATCCATTCCTGGCCAAGTCTAAATGGCCATAACCTTTTAGCAACATTTGCCAAGACTCTTTAACATGTCCAAGGCCTTTTACCTAGTCATTTCAATTTTGAAAGACTTTACCTAAAGAGACAACAAAAAATTTTAGTGCTGTACAAAAATAACTTGTGCTGAATTCTTTGTAATACAAGGAATGGAATCAAAATGCCCAACAACAGAACAATGAAAGTAAATTAGGGTACTTTTGATGACAGAATCTGATGAGAGCTCTCCAATAATACATATTTATTTCAGCATGGCTAGATTCTTTTATTAAAACATTAGGTTTAAAATTGTAATGTAAAGTGTACCTATACTATAATCACTATATATATATATATATATATATATATATATAAACTAAAAGGAAATACACAATTATTAATAGTAATTGTTCTTTGGGAGGTAAGCTTAATGAATGATTTTTCTCTTACCAGTGTTTTTCATTTTGCTTCCAAGTTTCCCACATATTATACATGTGTCTTTATAACTAGGTATAAGTAAAATGAGCACAAAGAAATCTAGGACTTTCTCCCTTTTCTCCTCCCCATTCTAAAACCCTCTCTCCAGCCACCCCAATGATGCCCTCTTGCTTTTTGCCACAGAACCAAAACCACCAGACTTCCCAGGGAAAATGAAACCATTCAAGGAGACTTATATTTTGACATCCCAACTAAAGGGCAATTTAGGTTAAGATACAAGCCTATCTATGACAGATCTCCATAGTGACTGTGACCACCTTATTCCACCAAGTCCATGTCAGAGTGGCTGGAATCATAAGGGAGAGGAAAATTCTTCAAAATTTAAATTGCCCCCAGTCAAAGCTAACTACCTACTTTCTGTTCATCAGTTCTTTACTACCAAAAGATTAAATTACAAGTAAACATATCGAAAATGCCTGCTGGGAGCATGGGGTTTACTTTGCTTTTTCAGATGAATTATTTCTTCTAATCTTTATGAGAATTCTATGAAGGGCAGAAGACTAGCCCACTTAGTCAGTCAAGGAAGTCTGACATTCCCAACAACTATGTGGCTAACCAAGGTCACCTCGTTAGTTTCAAGTTTAGAAAGCGCTATATAAGCTCCTCAGCAATATAGCCTGGGCCTCTGGGCCTTCAGCTGCCCAGCCAGTCTCCTTAATCAGCTACTTGGGTCCTATTTTTTTTTTTTTATAACAGTTTATTTTTACATCGTTTTGTACATTTTTTTTTCTTTTTCCATCTCAATTGTAATCCCTGCGGGTTTCCCATCACCAAGTCTGGGCCCTATTTTTATATCTGTAGAGTAGTGGGCCTCCTGTGCTCCCTTGTGGTGTCAAAAGACTGATACAGATTTCTGTCCCTTTTGAAGAACCTC